AAAAAAATAATAAGATACGATAGTACAAAGTACGGAACGTAGAAAGAATTTCACCCGTAATATAAATCAGAAAACGGTTAAAATAACAAAACAAACAACCGTCACCGAAATAAACAGGGGTCGGAAATTAACCCACGATAATGGCGGACCGTGGCACACCACCGGCACACGTGGAGTAAAATAACCGGCCGTAAAAGGCACAAAAATAATTTATTATATTAACAAGGGCAGATGGGTATAAGGCACACAAACTGCGCAAAAAATTGAGTTAACACTCACACCAAACCGACAAAACAAAGTTTTGAAATCGAGCAAGCTCCGGGCGTCAGCAGGCAGCAGGCGCCATAAAAGGAAGAGGAAAGGAGATCACTCCGTGGCTCCGTCATCGAGATATTGGTTACGTCACGGTAGGGAGGTAGGGATATTTAAACTTTTGTTTTTGGGCTACAAAGATGGGTGTAGGTATTGTATATGCATACTAAAGTTATGGTAATTATTACTGAAATGAAACTAATGTTTGCCCATTCATTATAGTCTCTGAGGATATTCACCAGTTCAAAATAACTGGGGCGATCCATCAAAAGTTTTGGACTAGATATTCACAAGCGATTTTGTATTTTTATAACCAAATTAATAATCTGCATACCAAGGTTCCTAAAGTCCGGATGTTATCGATTCTGGGACACTGATATCATTGAGTCAGAATACGGAGTTTGCGGTCTGTTAATCTAACCTTATGTTACTCGCGCAATACAATTAATAACGCGTTAAATATCTTCTTCATCAAGTTGCATATATATGTATATCTATATATAATATTCAATGTTGGTCCAAACTGTAGAAGTCGGGACCAAAGTTGACAGTTGGGCGTTCTAGCTGAGAATAGGTTCTATTCAGCAGTCTTCTATGTTGAATAAACGCCTGCATGTGGAAAATACCACCGGATATTATATTTAGTATCTAGCGTGCGCAGCTCTGTGTTCTGTGAATGGGACAAATGATCAATGTGTTTTAGTCTGTGACGAGTTCACGACAAAAGAGATACCATACCATGTCAAACTATGGAAATTCCGTTTTCTTCCGTAAGTTAACGTTTATCCCGTTATCAGAATACAATTACATTCTTGTAATAATACATTCATCATACATAATGCACGTGATATATTTCAATGATAAATGTTAATACTTTAGTTTCGTTCATAAAGCAAGGGGGGGGGGGGGGGGGGGGGGGCTGTTTGTTAACGATACTCAACTAAATATAGATTGATAATTGTTGTCTATAGCCTACGGTGTTAGCCAGTCGAAGTCGAAGGGGAAGTGATAAATAGTTAGGTATCTGGTGCTATAAACCTAAGTAATCTGTCATAATAACAATTTGTAATTACGGATTATATATTTACACTCAAAAGAATTATTGTAGAAATATGTCGTCTTTTTATCATCCGCTGTACAGTGAATTAGATTCTGGACGGCGAAAACAGGTAATTTTAGCATATTGTCATGATATATTTTTTGATGATGATGATGATGATGATGAATTGTGTCGCAAAGAATATCATACAGATGTAAAAATAAATAATATCGATCAAAATAGCATAACTCTAACAAAATATTAATGGCAGACATCCACACTTGATAAAAAAAGCTAATGCCGCGCACCCACTAGGGCAAAACTTGTTAAGATGAAGTCATAGGTCAATGAGACCAACAATTTTGATAAATGTTACAAATGTTTGATTTACAAAACAAATTGAATGATAGCATGTCGATATATGTAGGTCAGAAGTGGTCATAATTCAAAGTGATCACCAATACCAATCAGGATAACATAACAATCATAAGTCAAATGTCAATATAAAGGTCACCAAAGGACAAACTGATCATAACTATATCCTTGTATATATAGCTAAACCTGTCAAAGTGGCAGCATTCAGGATCGCAGGTATTCTAGTCACGTGACACCAGGGTCCACGTATAAAGCTGAGAGACTTGTATACAGTAAACATGTATTTGTGCATGCATGCTGGTTAGCCCTAACAGGGCGCCTCCGACTCTCTGTCTGCAAACGATTGCGTTTATATATTGTGTGTCTACATTCAGTTTGTTGCAGGGACCACCTTCAAATTTATCGGTATGGATGGTATAATTGACATATGACATCATGAAAATAACTTTGTCAAAAGTAAAGATCACGAAATATCAACAACCAATACATTCTGACGATATTTTTATTTTTTATTTTTTTTCTTCAAAATACTAACTTTTTCCTGATCTTATATGGATGAGTTTAACTCGCATGCAGAAAGAACAGTATATTGATAATACAAAAACCAAAAGTCCGAAAGTAGATTGTTATCATGATTCGATTTTGGCGAAAATGATAATGACTGCATGCCTTTTGTTATATTTTATGCATCATTCTGTAGCGACATGAGGATCAACATTTTGACAAATATTTTATCCGAAACCTGTGCGTGTATGATTTATAGTGTTTCACTGCTGTGTAGTGAAGGCAGATGAATCACAAAGTAAGATAAATGTTTTACATTAGCACGAGGTGTTGGCTGGCGCTCAACTTCAAGGCATATCAGGGGCTACTCACTCTACTTGCTTAACATACCCTTAATACATCTTAAACTTGAACTTTAACAGTAAGACTCCAAAAAGACACCTAGTGAAGAGGCTTGACTCTGCCGAACTCCAGAGAAGCAACTTGCCTCTTAAGTATTTATGGAGAAGATGAGAAAAAAATACTCTTACCTAGAGAAGAAGCCTTACTCTACTGAACTGCAGAGAAGCGACTTGACTCTAAGACTTGAAATCGAATAGACCTAGAGAAGAAGCTTGACTCTACTGAGCTGCAGAGAAGCGACTTGACTCCAAGTATTCCTGGAGATGATGATACATTTATAGAAGCTTCTGACATAGTAAATTAATACTATTTCAATTAATAAAGTATTGGGGGTAAAATTCCCCTGGAATAAAAAGCCATTCAACACTCTTATAAAGAGTGTTTACGTTTCTCTTTTTGTATAATGCATTAAAGAATGATTATTTTTCTCCCAAATTAAATTGTTGTTATAGTGAACAAATTGAAGTGTGCCATCATATACAAACTGATGACGCTATCAATGACTATGTGAAAATGTACAAACAAAATGTAGGAATGCAAAAAATAGAGCAAAAATCAAGGTGGCCTAGATAATTTTGTATCTTGGAAATTTAGTGTATACTCTGATTAATCAACGGTTTTCACAAAATTAATTCTAATTTGAGCAAAATCCACCTGCATTTATCTTCCAAGCAGTAATTATGTGGCGTATATGATGATAACCAGATACATTCCTAAGGTAACTTTTACACTGTGATGTTCTAATCGATCTAGGAAAATCGTCGAGAGAAAAAATAACAACTTTCATGTTTTTATTCTAAAAGTTTATTTTAAAACCTCAATAGGTCAGTATGTAAAAAATCAAAAAAAATCTTGCTATATTGAAGGGTTATTGTTCTTATATTTAAGCTATCTATGAATGAAATAGAAAATTGACATTTCAGATTGTTATGTTTATATCTGTTTGTATCTTTAAATTGAAATTAAACACTACAATTACAATATATTATACTCCGTTTCACGTGATTTATTTCGTATGCTTTGAAGATCAGAACTTAGATATCTACCAGAATTTTATTTTCTTCATAAGCAAGATGACTTGTAATAAGTTGTTACTTTCTTTTCCCCCTTACCTGGTTATATGGTTGAAAGTCCTTTAGTGATTAATCCAACTACTACAGGAATCGCTTTTCAGGCAGATCATTAAACACAAACAAAGTGGTCTAAATCGTGGTAGATCAGCTTTGATCCTGAAAAATCCAACAGAAAGTATGTTAATAAGTAACCATTGTACATGAATAATGAAGAAATAACAAATATTGAAGTACACAAGCACCGAGTATTTTTTCGAATGACGGGAGTTGGGTCAAACATGTAAATTACATTTTTAATAAAGCCTCAGCCAGAATCAATATTCGACGTTCTCTTAAATTCAAACTTTACCGAAACACATTACAAACTATTTACTTTTCATTTAGCAGACCTATTATTGAATATGTTGACGTAGTGCGGGATAATATTACCGATGAAAATAGTGCTAAACTGGAGCCAATTAATACTGAGGCAGCTCGGATTGTATATGGGTCAACCAAACTGACTAGCATAGATAAACTGTATATAGAAGCAGGCTGGAACAAATTAATTGAACGTAAACATCAACACAAACTAATTGTTTTCCACAAAATGTTCCTCCAAAATATCCCTCAATGTCTCAACCGTCTTGTACTACAATCAGTTACTGGAATACATAACCATAATATCAGACATTCTGATGTTACACCTATCACACCCATTCATTGCCATTCTGATGTGTATAAAAGATCTTTCTTGCCATCTGTTATCAATAGCTGGAACTCCATTCCAGTTAATGTCAGGAGAAACCCTTCCATTTATCAATTTAAATCACATATTAAACGCAACAACAAAAATCATCCATCAAAACACTACTCACATGACTCACGATAAGGACAAATATATCATGCTAGACTACGCATGTCAAGCAGCTATCTTAATGAAAATTGGTATAGGAAAACCATTGTTAGATCCCCACTATGTGCATGTGGTTACATCGAAAACATCTCTCATAGAATATACCTTATACACTGCCATCAGACAACTTTACACATTGAAACTCTTCCGTATCATATAACTGTCAAATTGTTATCATGTGGCGATGAATCGTTATCTTTAGAAGAAAAGAAAATAATCGTCCTCGATGTTCAGGATTACATCCTTAAGTCAAAGTGATTTAAACAACATTAATACAATGTTATGATGATATTGTTATGAACATATGCATGTTATTTCAAATAATTCTGGATTCTGAGTAGTTTAAACTATGTTTGTATGTAAAGATGTATGTATGTATATATGTATGCATGCATGTATAAGCGTGATATGTGTAGGAGTGCATGAATGTACACGCATGTGCGCAAGTAAATATGATGTATGTATGATAGAAATATGTGTTTATGATGTGTGTGGGTATGCATGTATACATGAAAATTTGCGTGCGATCACAAAGTGTCATTTAAAAAAGCAGTGTTACCAACATAGTAATACATCAATTGATTTATTATCTTACGACGTCTTCGAATAAGATTCTTATTCAAGGATTTTTGAATTAATATACACATTGTAAATGGTTTCTGTGTAAAATAAGGCATGTGGTTGGTCTCTCCGATGCAAACAGTATAGTGGAAACGGATATACCAGGAGGAAACGAATGAACGGGAGAATGACGTATTAAGACACTGGAGGTGACAAACAATTGATCAGTAACAACGTTTGGAATGTGAACAGTCTATCACAACGACTGTTTGTGTAGGGAAAGATTATCCTCATGATTATCATCGAGTATATGCAATAGCAACATCATAATGCAGCTTGTTTATGTACGATCCTACTCATATTCATATATAAACATTTCTTGAAATGATCTGTAAATCAACGTTTAACCTTAAAGTGTACTTACGATGACGCAACAGAAGGATTTGTCTTGACCACATTTTACCAAATTCCTGAATATATCATATTTTGTACATGTACCATGTTTGTTAAAGCATTGTTTAGTCACTCAAACTTTCAATAAGCTGATAAAAAATATACAAATTGAAAATACATATCTGAATTTAATTGGGTGTTTTATATGGGGTTTGAAATTTGGATGACTATACATTTTTCAAGATGTTGTTGTACCTAGAAAAAGACGTCGTAAATATTGAATCATAACAGTAGTTAGCGCACACAGCACAAACGTTTGATTTGAAAGAACTTTCACCTACCTGAAACGCACGGAGCAGTTGTAAATACTCCGGAAACGGCTATATAGCCAGCCAAGAAACTGAAAATTAACTCATTGGTACGGCCTGCTCAGTTTATATAGCAGTATGTTATGATCACGTGGACTGTCTCTGGTTCTGAAATAAATTAACCAATGAATGACTGCTATCATGAAACACTGATTTTTGAAAATTTCCACAATCTACTTAGAATCATACACTTACTAAGGTTTCACTTTCGATTATTGGAATCATGCACTTACAAAGGTTTCGCTTTCGATTATTAGAATCATATCTACATACTCGATTACAAGCGAAAACGGGCATACTGGTAGATTATGTATCCACCTCATTAATAATAAAAAAGTACGAACTACATGTTCTAGGACTCGAGTAAAGTTGTATTTGTCATTCTTTTGTGTGACAGTATTTTATTCAAAAATCAAACTTAAAATTTTAGGTGGATGGGAAAACAAGCTTACAGTTTATATTAATTCCACACCCAATCATATTTACAGGCAAATAATTTTTCGAAACCAGGGACACCTGAACTGCAATATGAATAAAATAAATTTAAAGTCTAACATTTAACATATGTACATGTGGTAATTCCTTAGAAATATATTGTATAACACATCAGAATGGAAAGCTAGTGTTTTATACACAAGCTCAACCACAGTCACTCAAGCATTGTTGCACCTACGTATGATCACATCCACACACATACATCTGTGCAGAGTTCTTTGTAATGTGTTTGGAACATTGACTACAACAACGGTCACTTTAAACTTTCAAATGTGTACATGCACAATAGTTACAATATAATATATTTGTACACAAAGAACTTCAATTACAGGCACTTTCAATTTTCATATGTTTACAGTACAGTTATATTAAATGTATCTAAAAGAAGAACTACAGTTATGAGCACAATCGAATGCATTTTGTCAATCTTTGAGATTTGATTGTTTAGAAAGCACTAGAAATACTTAAAAATGATTATAAAATTAATACAAATTCATAGAAAGTGCAATTCAACGAACAATTTATGAGATTATCAATAATTTTATCAATTGCAGGTGTATCATTAAAGGTAACTGGGTGAGTTTGACAGAGAGATATAAATATACCTATTATTTCTCAACTAATAATTCGTTATTATATTGTGCAGTACTGTTAACCAATAACTGCTTATTTCTGTCTGATATATATTCAAAATTCCCAAATTGCGTATAACCAAATACCATTTATGAATTTAAACGTCAGAAAGTACTATTTTTTCAAAACTGTAACCGGGTTGTTTTGTTTGTTCAGGTTTTTACTTTCTCGTGACAGCTAAGGCCGTATAATATAATATAGTATGCCTACGGAAATATAATATGCCTACGGAACTCGGCGATATTTTAGGTATACAACCAAATAATTCGTCAAGCTTAAAACCTTTTCTACCCTGTCATCAAATGACGAACGCGACTACCTTTGGTCAAAAATATCAAAAATGTGATATTTTTGACCAAAGGTAAGACGCATTCGTCATTTGTATACGCATATGCGTAATTAAAACATCTCGGAAAAATATTTGTTATGAAACTCGGACTGTTCAAATAACAAATTCTGATAACCATTGTTCTACCTGGGAAAAGAAACATTTTTTACGGTGAGGGTATGCCAAACAAGCTTCAACCATTGCGATTGTATTCTTAAATGTCCATCTCTCGGCTTAATGAAAGTATGGAGTTCAATACTCAAGAATATCCTCCCTAGAGCTAAACTGAAGGTTTTAGAGGAGAGGTCCTTTATTCTCTGTAGCCTATGAAGGCTCCATACTTCAGCCCTCTAGTGTGTCACACCCTTCTTGAGTGTTCAAATTCTGATCCTAAAAATAGGTTGATTATTATCACGACGTTTTATCATTATCTAACTGATTGTTTTCGAGGGCAAGTCGAACATATTGTTCGGTTCGTTGTTTAATAGATTATAAAGGCTTCGTTTATTCTATTATTTAGCTAAATTATGAATTGAAAAGAAGAAAGGAAAGTTTTGTCTTTACAACATTTTATATAGGCTCCGATAACTTGCTCCTGATTTAGTTTTCTGAGGATTTCCACCACCGATGTAAGTTGCAATTTGTAAAGAAGTCGATCGGGACCAAAGTTGGCTGTCTGGGCGTTCTAACAAAGACAAGGCTCTATGAAGCAGTCTTTTATGTTAAAAATGTTTTAATAAATGTACAATGTAAAAACGTCTGCATGTAGAAAAAACTGCCGGATTCTATATTTAGTATCAACACCAATAAGCAGGTCTGTATTCTGTGAATGGAACAAATGATCAATGAGGTGCTTTAGTCTAAAATCATAAATTATTTAGTCTTTATATCATAAATTATTGAATTGCCGTTTTTCCTCTGTAAGCTAATGTTAAGTCTCTGGTGCTATTAACCTAAGTAATATGTCGAAATAACAATTTGTTATTTCGGAGTATTGTAGAAATATGTCGTCTTTTTATCATCCGCTGTACTGTGAAATAGATTAAGGACGGGGCCCTATGCAAGCAAATTATAATCTGAAGCAACACATACTTTGTGTTTTATCATTATAATATTACCTTTAATTTTGAACTGAAGAGAAATGTTAGCATATTGTCATGATAGATTTTTTGATGATGATGATGATGATGATGATGATGATGATGATGATGTTACTTTTCTAATAATGGCAGACATCCACACTTGATCAAAATAAGCTAATGCCGCGCATCTACTAGGACAAAACTTATTAAGATCAGGCCATAGGTCAATCAGACTAACAATTTTGGTAAAGTTACATTGTACACATTTTTGATTTTCACCACAAATTGAATGATACAATGTAGCATATCAATATATAGGTCACCAAAGGTCAAATCGATCATCAATATGCGATGTATATGGCTAAAGCTGTCAAAGTGGTAGCATTTAGGATCGCAGATATTCTAGTCACGTGACACCAGGGTCCATGTATAAAGCTGAGCTTTAAGGTAGGCGTGTATATTTGCATAGAAACAGTAAACATGTATTTGTGCATGCATGCTGGTTAGAGCACCAACGACTCTCTGTCTTCAACGATTGCGTTTATATATTTTGTGTCTAAAATCTTGCGCTAACATAAGCCACTCTAAAGCGCTTTACAGTACATAGATATACAATTGATATACAACTAGCATATACATTAGTCAATACAATTTTGAGGAATTTGCAGGAGCTGCCTAATCAGGCGCTAACTACAAGTCTTATGCCACCTGGCTAATATCTTCCTATGTGTGTATGCCTGCGTGTCTGCTGGAGATGTATTGTGTTCTATTTGTAGTGTGACCGTGCTTCCAACGGCATCTTTTATAGTTCCACGTCACTTGAATGCTACAGCACAGATACCGCAACACCCACCCCTCCACCTGGGTTGTTCGAGGTGTGTGGGCAGGAGAAAAAACACTTTCTCTGAATATTCCATACGTGCGACGACTACGAGGATTGAACCCCGGCCACCTGCGTGGAAGGCCAAAGCGTTAACCACTTGACCAATCCGCCCATAATATAAATATTTACGTATGTATGGAGGTACGGTAGTCTAATGATAGGACAGTACAGGGCTCGTGACCAAAGGGTTGCGGGTTCACGTTAATTGTCACGTCACTGTGTTGTTTCTTTGAACAAGATACTTTACTCAGCTTGTTCCAGTCTACTCAGCTGTAAATGAGTACGTGGTTGACTGGTTGGGCAGTGCTGGAATTGTTGAATGCTATCTGTGAACCTCTTTGAGACCACCTACGACCTAGGTTGTGATAAAGTGGTAAAATATAAGAAACTCAAATTAATCTCAATTTATTACTATTATCATTACATCTACAAATGACAATTATGAATAGGTTTTGATCTGCTGTTGGGATTCTATATAAATTCAGCTCGAAAAGTATGGTAATTTACCTGCTACTTTAATTTCATGAAATAAAAATACGGAATTAACTGCTTTCTTTGAGTTTGATACATTCAACTTGACAGCTTATTGCACATTTGATTCTGTACTTGTTTCTTAGGAAGACAAGGTGTCACATACTGAATTCTGTTCTGGTGTTCTATACAGAGTTATCGCCCTTTAAAACTTACTATTTCACTTATAATCACCATTATTAATTATAACTTATCTATCCCTGATGACACATTATAACTCTTCTAATTCAAAGGTTGGAATAGTTCATCATAAAATTGCAGGGGTGAATGAGTTAATTATGATATCTATCTGTATATTGTATTGTATGGCTTAATTTACGGCCCATGCAATATGATCGCCAACTTAGCCATATTTTGATAATCAAGATTTTCACATATTTGGTTGCAGCCTTGTACGAAAACCGCGCAAAACAAATGCACCCTTATATTAGGAACGCCTTCCCTGTTATATCATTACAAATTTTATTATGCAAAATCTGCAGGGGTGAATGAGTTAATTATGATATCTATCTGTATATTGTATTGTATGACTTAATTTACGGCCCATGCAATATAATCGCCACCTTGGCCATATTTTGATAATCAAGATTTTCACATATTTGGTTGCAGCCTTGTACGAAAACCGCGCAAAACAAATGCACCCTTATATTGGGAACGCCTTCCCTGATATATCATTACAAATTTTATTATGCAAAATCTGAACATTGTTGAGATTCAATAAAAAAGAAATGTATACAGTGTGGTTGCTAATTAATAAAAGTCTCATTAATCAGCTAATTTCGCATTGGATTAGTTATTCGGTTGAGGTCTGTCATACTGGCCTGAGGTCAATTAATAACACTAATGCATTTTATATATAGTGATACAGTGTGCAATATGTTCTATGTATGTTGTGAGTTAAGGTGGAGGGTTGTGGATCTTATACTGTCTACCCACAGGACTTGTATAGACTTATATGAGACAATTAGCTAGAAATACCTATATATAAAGACTTTATATATAGGTATTTCTAGCTAATTTAAGCATATTAGTCTATACATTCACTGCAGTTTAACTCTTTTTCATCCTGAATGAGGGAGAATTTATCCTGACAGAGGTTATAAGTAAACAACTTTGATTTGGTTTGGTTTGTTTGTGTTTTACCTCCTATTAACA